CCATATGACCCAGCCATCCCATTACTGGGTATATACCCAAAGGATTATAAATCATGCTGCTATAAAGACACATGCACACGTATGTTTATTGCGGCACTATTCACAATAGCAAAGACTTGGAATCAACCCAAATGTCCATCAGTGACAGATTGGATTAAGAAAATGTGGCACATATACACCATGGAATACTATGCAGCCATAAAAAAGGATGAGTTTGTGTCCTTTGTAGGGACATGGATGCAGCTGGAAACCATCATTCTCAGCAAACTATCACAAGAACAGAAAACCAAACACCGCATATTCTCACTCATAGGCGGGAACTGAACAATGAGATCACTTGGACTCGGGAAGGGGAACATCACACACCGGGGCCTATCATGGGGAGGGGGGAGGGGGGAGGGATTGCATTGGGAGTTATACCTGATGTAAATGACGAGTTGATGGGTGCAGCACACCAACATGGCACAAGTATACATATGTAGCAAACCTGCACGTTGTGCACATGTACCCTACAACTTGAAGTTTAATAATAATAAATAAATTAAAAAAAAAAAAAAAAAGACCATGATAGCTATCACTTCACACCTACTAGAAGAGCTAAAATAAAAAACAGTCACAACACCAAATGCTGGTGAGGATATGGAGATCCTGGGTCTCTCATGCATTGCTAGTGAAATGTAAAAAGGGATGACCACCCTGGAAAAGAGATTGGCAGTTTCTTACATAACTAAACATGAACTTGCCATACAATCCAGAAATCCCACTCCTGGACATTTATCCCAGAAAAATAAAAATGTACGTCCACACAAAAACCTGTACAGAAATGCTTACAGCAGCTTTATTGCAGCAGCCACTAAGCAGAAACAACCAGGATGTCCTTCAATAGGTGAGTGGCTAAACTAACTGTGATACAGCCATACTATGGAATCATAGTTGGCAATCAATAGGAATGGACTACTGAGACACATGGCACCCTGCATAGACTTCACGGGTACTATGCTGAGTGAAAGAAGCCAGTCTCAAAAGCCAATCTTGTAGATATGATTCCATTTACATAACACTCTAAACATTACAAAATTTAGAGATGAAAAACAGATTAGTGATTGTCAGGGTTTAGAAACTGGGGAAACAGCAGGATAGAAATCTTTGTAGTGATGAAACAGTTGATTGCAGAGGGGATCACACGAATGTACACACATGCCAGGAGGGTATAGAATTGTACACACACATTGTACCAATGCCAGTTTCCTGGGTTTTTTAGTTAGTTAGTTTGTTTTTTGTTTTTGAGATGGAATCTTGCTCTGTCGCCCAGGCTGGAGTACAGTGGAGTGATCTCGGCTCACTGCAACCTCCGCCTTCCGGGTTCAAGTGGTTCTCTTGCCTCAGCCTCCCGAGTAGCTGGGATTACAGGCACCCACCACCACGCTGTAATTTTTTTATTTTTATTTTTTATTTTTAGTAGAGACGGGGTTTCACCGTGTTGGCCAGGCTGGTTTCGAGCTCTTGACGTCATCATCCGCCTGCCTCGACCTCCTGTGCTGGGATTACAGACGTGAGCCACCGCGCCCGCCCGGCCAGTTTCCTGGTTTTGTTATTGTACTGTAGTCATGTAAATGAGACCCTTGGGGGAAGTTGGATGAAGGATATACTGACCCCTTTATACTCTTATTGCAACTTCCTGTGAATCTATAATTATTTTAAAATAAAAAGTTAAAAATATACATGTGTATTACAAAAAACTGTTCTGATCTATCACAAATATTTTGTAATCTACTGTTTGTGCCTTTAGGGCCTTGGCTTTAAAAGATGATTAAATTTTTATTTTATAAATTTTAAAAAGTTGTTTTATTTTTATTTATTTATTTAGTTTGAAACGTTTTAATTTTCATGGGTACATAGTAGCTGTATATATTTAATGGGGTACGTGAGATATTGCGATACAGGTATGAAAAAAATTCATTATTTTGAAATGATAGTTTTCAAAGCTATTATTTATATTTAGTGATATAATAAATGTACATGGTTTAAAAAGTTGGTATCCCACCTCTTCCTATGTCCTGAAATCCATTCACTAGAGGCAACTACCCTCAATTCCTCTGAATTTTCATCCCTGTATTTACTATGTCCCTAAACGATATATTTATATGGATATCGTTTTATTCATCAACAATTGATATTATTGGTTTATATTTTGTCATGGTAGATATGAACTTAACTCTCCCACAACTTTCCCATTGCTAACTCCTATCTACCATAATTTTCTCACATTTTGGTCATTTTATTAGCTGGCGTATACAGTATTATATGTGTTCAAATATTGCTTCGTGATAAATGAAGAGTCCACTCTTACAATGTCTCAACGCTGTTTAACTCTTTGTCCTGGGGTTCATAGCTGCCTTGCCTTTCATTTTTCTGCTTTTCTCTGCACGTGTGGCTACACGTTTTCCCATATGCTCCCTTCCTGGTTACTCTTTAGGCCAACTGTATACATTTTCCTGAGATTCCCCTTCAGGGCTGTCCTGTGTTGGAACCCTGGCTTCTTGGAAGCTGTGTCTTTCTCTTTCTTGTTTTACATTTGCTACCTAAAGAAAGGGTGTGTGGGAGACAGAATGTTTGAGTCTTTGGATGTCTGAGAGTCTCTTGGATCTGTTATCCCTCTTGATTGATACTTTGGCTGGGAATAGGCTTTTAGGTTGAAAATGATTTTCTCTTGAAAATTTGAAGGTACTGCTCCCTGTTTTCTAGCAACTGGCTGCTAAGAACTCAGAAGCCATTCTGGTTCTTCTTCCTTCTTGTATGTCATCTGTTTTTACTCCCTGGAAGCTTGTGGGGTCTTTTGTTGCTGGTATTTTGAAATTTCACAGGGATGTACAGTATCCAGGCTTTTGAAATTAGAAAAACCTTTCTCAAACTAATGTCTTTGCTGTGAGTTCCAACAGTCGATTTTGTAACTCAAAAGCCAAGCATTAGCTCTTTTATTTCCTGCTTTTTTCCATGCACACTCATTCCCTGAGGTCATTAATGCCATTGGCTGACTAGGTGAAAAGCTGGCGAGTAGTTGGAGGTACCAAGGGACAAAGGAAGATGTGATCCTGGGTCTCAGGAATCCATTACACACTACTATGAGTTGCCAGGAAGAGGCCCATGGGTAAGAGTAGGGAAAGAGATCCTAATGAAAATTAAAATCCAGAGAAACCACACCAAGGGATTATCCCACCCTAGGGAGTAATCAAGCATCCCCCAAAGCTGTGTGCATTCTTGCTTCAGTGCCTTTGCTTGAGCTGTGCCCTAGCTGGAATTATAATTAGCTGCCATCAACAGAGAATTCATTCCAGTGGTCTAAATATATGCGGGTTCATGCTCTCATGTAAAGGAAGTCTAGAAGTAGGTGGTCCTGGGTGGTTTGGTGGCTCCATGGTCATAAGGGACCCAACCTCTTTCTACCTTTTTGCTCCAACTTCATTAGCATGTTGTTTTCATCTTCAAGGGCACAAGATGGCTGCTGGCATTCTAGTCATCACACTCAGGTTCCAGGCAAGAAGAAAAATAGGAAGAGGCAAAGGGGCATTCTCTGGCTGGCTGATTTCTCTTAAGGAGCCTTTCTGGACGTTTATCCAACAACTTCTACTTGTATCTTATTGGCCATTGTGCAAGGGAGGCTGGAAATATTTTCTTTTAGCTGGAGATATTGCTGGCCAAAGTGGGTTTCTGTTAACAAGGGAGAAAGGGAGAATGAATACTGGTAAGGGACTAGCAGTCTCTGTGACCATGTTCTGGACTCTTAACTACTCTAGCTGCTGAGACCTTGTTCCTTCCGGAAAGCACAGGTGAGGTGGCACTTCGGTTTTCCTGATGCCCCAGGCAGAACCACAACTGCCAATGCCCTCATGCCCTTGGAGACCCCCTCTCTGTGTTTATGTCATTTTTATTTCTGCCTGAAAAGTGTTCATCTCCTCACCCTAGCACATCCCCCGCCTTCCCATATGTTCAAATTCAGCCTTAGAGACCTAGCCAATGGAAACTTCCTCCAGAATTCCTTGATTTCAACTGCCCAGCCAAAAGTTCCTCCTTTTTCTCCTCTGAGTTCCATAGTAGGATGAGGGATTAGAGTGACTAACTGTTCCTGTTTGCTCAAGATGAAGAGGTTCAAGGGACAAAGGACTTTTGTACTGAAACCCGTTCTGGACAAATCATCCTGGTTTGCTTGGGACTGAGGGGTCTTCCAGGATACAGGACTTTCAGTGCCCAAACTGGGAAGGTTCTGGGCAAGCCAGGATGAGTTGGTAACTTCACAGGGGTCAGAACACTGAGCTTGGCAGTCAGAAGACAGGAAGGAGGGTGCTGGTGCTGTACCAATGGACCATATAGTTTTGGGCCTCCCTGACTCTCAGCATCCAAATCTGTGAAATGGTACTATTATCAGCTTTTCAGGGTTGTGAGGAGGATGGCAGGAGATCCTTTTATTTTTTATTTTTGAGATGGAGTCTTGCTCTGTCACCCAGGATAGAGTGCAGTGGCACGATCTTGGCTCTGCCTCCTGGGTTCAAGCAATTCTCCTGCCTCAGCCTCCCAATTAGCTAGGATTACAGGCAAGTACCACCAAGCCAGACTAATTTTTGTAGTTTTAGTAGAGATGGGGCTTCGCCATGTTGGCCAGACTGGTCTTGAAATCCTGACCTCAGGTGATCCACCCACCTCAGCTTCCCAAAGTACGGGGATTACAAGTGTGAGCCACTGCGCCTGGCCTGGCAGGAGATCTTGTACATGAAAGCTCCTTGCAAATGTGGTAACGTATAAATGGGTGACAGCCCTTTTTTTTTTTTTTTTTTTTTTTTTTACTGTATTGGTAAACCTTCTTATGGTCCATACCACATTCTGTTGGGCATAATGGTTATTTGAATGCCTGTTTCATTTTCCGCTCCTAGACTGAGAAACATATGTCCCCATAAATAGAGGAACCCAGCAATCTCTGCAGCAGGTATGAATTTGCATCCCAACAGTCACATGCAAGAACCATGGCAGTATTTTATTTTTGTAAACCAAATTAAATCTGGCTGTGAGCTCCCAGTCACCATAGTTGAGTCATTGCCTGGAGCACCCCCTCCTTAGGGTGGGCAAGGATGGTTTACATAGTCCAGAAACTTCAGCAAAGCTTGTGTTCTTCAGCCCCATATGGTCACTGCTGGAGCCTCATGCTCAAGTCCAAATGGTTCATTCCAAAGAAGGGTGGCTCTTCTCTCTCCATGCCAAGCCAGACTCTGAGATCTTTTTCAGCAGCTCACAAGGTCTTAGAGCTTGATTGTCAGTCCCTGGCACCCAAGGGCCTCCCCATCAAAGGTCCTGCCACCTCCTGAGGTGCTGCATTTAACTGGGTGCGCGTTTCCATGTCAGTGGTGTGCTGGAGCAGGCTTGTACTGACTCAGGAGAGCCGACTGTGTGTGTCTCTTCCCAACTTCCTGCTCAATGACATAAAGTTGGTAGCTTGAAATTGACCATGGTGGAAATATTTACACCACAGAAACTGGTAAACACTATAAATCAGGAGCCCATGCCCTCCAGCCCACCACCCTGAGAACACGTGTTAGCTTTCACCAGTACACCAACATATATCCGACCATGGCTTTGCTTCCTGTCTCTGGAAAACCTGGGTCTCCCCGTGGGTTCAGCCTCTTCCTGCCCATCCCAGAGACCCTGCTCATCCAAGACAAGCCAGCTCTTTGTGCCCAGTGCCTAGACTTCAGAAAATAAAAGCCTTTCATTTCTCCTGTGGAACAGATCTCAGGACACAGAGATCTCCTGTTTCTCTTCAGAGGAGAAAGATGAGGTTCCTTTAATTCTGTTTTCTGAAACTTTCTCTTTCAAATGAGTCTATAATATCATAAAGCACAATCAGTTTGCCCATTGGGCAATCCTGCCACATTCAACTTCCTCCCGGCAGTGTCTGGCATTATGCTCTTATTTCAGTAGAACAGCTGGATAGATGGATAAAGGGAAGCTGGACATTCACCACTCCCTGTGAACTGGGTGATACTCTCAATGCTCCCCTCTCCCTTAAACACTCTTACTGCCCCCCACACCTGCCGCCCAGGCCCATTGCCAGGCCTTGCTGTAGCTCTGCCCTGACCTCCTGGCTTCTGTAGCTCTTTATGTAACTGAGCACTAAATGTTCCATCTGGGAGGCTGGCTCCAAGGAATTTCTCATTTTCAGATATTTATGCCTTAAACTGGAGACCAAATACTGCTGGTTCTTGTCTCCTGTCTTCTCACGGCATCATTAGTAGTTTTCAGGAGCTGCATTCTGTAAGTGAATTTGCCAGCTTGTCACTGGTGAGTTCTAAGTTACCAATGACACTTGAAGAAATGCCCAGAATAACTCCAGCCAGCCAGCAATGCATAACCAGGGAGACAGGAGCTCAGACACATGAATTTAGGGAGAACAGTGGGGATCTCATCTATAAAACCTTGGTAATGGCTTGTATCTTTCTCCAAGGAGATAAGGAAACTATTGTTGCTTCCATCCACCTTCTCAACACTCCTGGGAGGAAGATAACAAGCAGATGTTAGTGTTTTCCTGTTGCAGATGGGTACACTGAGGTGCAGGAAAATTACAAAAATTAAATATAGGTAAAGGTTGTTTAAGTGAATGTATGCAAAGGGAAGTAGTGAGGTTGCAAAGAGATACTCTTTCATTTATACACACATTGATTCAGCTCTTTGCCCAGCATGCCTTGTGTATGGGGGACAGACACAAGAATTAATGAAACAGGCTGCCCACTCACAAAGAGCCCAAAGTCTGGTGGAAGAAGCAGACACACTTAAGCCAAGAATTTCACTGTTACGTGTGCAGGGCTACCATGTGCAGTTGTTCAGGTGCTCTACTGCACAAGGGTGCTCTGCTGAAGAGGCAGGTGGAAGGGGCATGCTAGAAATCTAGCCCTTGCCCTGCTGGCTGAGACTTTGCCCTGGTGTGGAGTTGGGACCCCCTGAGGAAGGGGCACATTTCTCTAGTGGTAAAAAACCTGTATGGGGGATTTCTGGACTGTCCAAAGAACACTAGCCCTAGATTTTTATAGCATTATCTCCTGTAAACCATTCAAAATCCTAATCACAAATGGATAGCCTGATCATCAACAGCAGCCACCTGATTTGAGCTCTAGACTTTGTTCTGCCAGTGAGTCCCCGTGCCTCTTCTTTTCTTGGGGTTTCAGTCTCCCCTGTGCACTGTGGGGATCAGCAAGATGGGTATGAAGGCCCTTCCTGCACCAGTAGTCCAGGTAAGTTTGCTTCTTGCAGAATGCTCTATGGGTGATGCTTCCTGCCTTTGTACTTGGGAGGCTGGTATGAGCAGAGAGAAATATCAGTAAAGGAAGGATATTCTAATGAGGGGACCTCAGGTAAAATGTCCAGGATTTCTATCAGGACAGAAGGGTGACCTGCGCTCTACTGCCCAAAAGGCAGAGTTGGGCCAATGCTGGAGACCATTCTGGTGGGCAAGGCTGTAGGAAGTGTAGGCCGATTGGAAGGCCTAGGAAGTGGTGATTGGCATACAGAGATCAGCAGGGGGCCTAGGGGAGACTCCCGCTTGTGGTTTCCAGCCTCTTTTAGATTGTTCAGCAGGGCAAAGGTCAGACTCACAAGTAGGCATCAAGCAGAGGCATAGCGGGTGGAACACAGGAGTCTGGGGACACTGGCACAGCCTTTCCTGGGTCTCTTTAACAACAATGGGTAAAGGGGTCAGGTACCAGCTGTGTCTACCAGGAACCCAGATCCCAGCTTAGGGGCCCACAGATGAGGAATGCTGTGAACCCACCAGCTAAGAGGAGCCGAGGAAGGCAGAGGCCAAGAGCAAGAGGCAGAGATGGAAAATGTCCATGAGTGAGGCAGAGACGTTGTGACGCCCTGGACAGAGCTTGCGGTGGGGCACCTGAGCTTAAAGCTTGGCCCTAGCACTGTCCAGCTGGGTGACTTGGAACCAGTTACCCTCTCTGAAGTCTCAGTTTTCTCATCAATAAAATGGACTAAAAAAACCTTTGCTTTGCAAAGTGGTTGTGAGCATTAATGGTGTTTGTATATGGAGTCCCACCACATGGCCTGGCTCATGGTAGACTTTAATAAATAATAGCTTCTGTCAATCTGAACAAAAGTCAGCTAGAGTGTAGTACAGGCATGAATAGGGAACAGCTTTCTAGCGCAGTGAAAAGGGATGTTCCACCTGCCCCTCAGTTTATTAAAATGCCACCTTCTGCCACACATCTGGATGAATGGACTTGATGTCTAGCTTCTGTGGCTCCTTCCTTTACTAGAAAGAATTCTAAGTGAGCCCATCACCAAATTTATCTTCTAAAGACAGTGACAAGCTGTATCCAGGGTAGCTGGAGATGGGATTTCTATTTTGGTTGTCGACAGTGTCAAACAGATACTTGCAACATGCTGTCAAATTGGAATTGGACAGAAAGGACAGGAGATTCCAGCTTAGGCAAGAATCTCATACCTTTGTGAGGGGCATATAAAAAAAAAACGCGATGTGTATCAGCATGTCCATGGGATGATCGGGCTGAGAAGCTCTGGGAGTTTCAGAAATAGAGTACCGTTGATGACAAGACAGGAACATGTGGCTGTCACAGTGTGGGAGGAATTAACCACAGTTCTGTACACTGTACCATTTAATAAGCATCTCCTGTTTGATCTTCCAACAATCCCATGGGGGAGATGCTGCCCCCGTTCTACAGGCAGAGAAACTGAGGCTCCAAGAGGATAATAGACTAGACCAGGGTAATAATACACTGAGGAAAGGGTGATGCCTGACTGGAACCCAGGAATCTGATCCCAACAGCAGGATAATTTCTACACAGGCACACTACAAGTCCTGTGTCTTGCTAAAGGCAAGCCGTAGGGAGCAAAGCTAATGGTTCAGGTCTGGGTTTCCCCTCTCTGATTTATTTCTATTTGTTGTATTTTCTACTTTTGATTCCATATGGGAATATTAGACCAGAGTGTGCTGGCTCCTACTGAAAACTCTACACAGCCTTCCTTGCCCCACCCAGATGGGTTGAGGCCCCTCATTATATTCTCACATAATCCCTTGTGCTTCTCTTTGGAAGCCCATATCACAGTTAGAATTACTTAAGCCCTTGTGGTCTGATTTGTTTAGTGTCTTCCTCACTATACTTTAAGCTCCCTGAAGACAATCATATCTTTCTGCTTTACCCCAGAGCTTAAAATGATCCCTGGCACATAGTAGCTGCTAAGCAAATGATGACAGCTTTCCCTTGGCGGAAGAGTAGAATTTGGTCCAGAAGAGATGGGTGTTGGCCACTCCAGATGGAGGGGCAGGCCTGATTGGGAGAAAAGCCCCAGCTGAACGTCTACTTTGTCCACATCCTCTCAGTATGGAAAGTGCAGGGCCTGACACATAGTAGGTGACAAAAAAAAGATTGATTGATTTAATGATTGAATAAAAATAAGACGCAAATTCTGTCAGGTTTCTCCGTTCCTATTAGTTTCTTTGCGTGGCTGGTTTGAGTGCTATTGACTCAAGCATACATAGCTCAAGGGGCAAGAATGCAGGGAACTTATAGGGGGCTCTCAGGCATCGTATGTTTTATATACATGTTTCATTATCCTAAGAATAGGATAATGAAGTAATCCTACAGGATAATAGGAAGAACCTTCTGGGCTTATAATAGTGGGTCACTTGGGAATCCAGGGGTTAAAGATTAGATACCGGCTTAGACTGACGGAAATGGTGATTGGACGTCTAACCTCACCCTGCAGGGTTCCTGGCGACTTGAAACTCCTTTGCCTCAAACCTGAATTGGTCCAGCACCTAGGCAGTAGGGGACTGGGCTGAATAGACCTACATAAGGCTTCTTGTACACAACCTGTTAGGGCAGGATGCCTTAAGGTGTGGGCAGCAGGGGAAGCAGACACTTGCTGATGGTAAGGACAGAGATGAGGTGAATCAGTGCAATAAAGTATGCATGGTTCTGTCGTATATTTGTATCCAGCTCCTTTCCTGCCACAGGACCTTTGCATGTGTTATTCCCAATTTTTAGCCACCCTTTCACCCCTTTGCAAGACTAGCTCCTTTTTGTCCTACAGGCCTCAGCCTATTTTTTGTTCCTCAGAGGAGACTTTTCTGACTACTGTATTATAAATAGATCTCCCAATTTCTCTTATTCTCTTTCTTAGTCTTTTATTTGTTGCTTTCATTACACATATTAGAATTTGTAATCATTTTACCTATTTCTGTTTACTTGTATACTTAAAAATCTATTTTCCCCACCAGAATGTAAACTCCATGAGGTCAGGACTATGTCTATTTTGTCACCATTGATTCCCTGGGTCTAACAGTGCCTGGAAGAGCAGGCAGCCATCAGCCTTGGCAGGATGTTTGATTGATTGAATGAAGAATTATGTAACTGATCGAGATTCCCTTTGAACTTTGGCTGCCTAGAAATTCAGAGTTAAAATTTTAATGCAGCTTTAATAACTGTCTGGGTCATTAAGATGGGCATTTCTGAGTGCTGACCTTTTATCTGACTTTCCTTGCGCAGTGGACCTTGTTTTAATTGGCCTATGTAACTGATGCTTATAATTTATGGTAAGAATCACACTTTCCCTCATGATCTCAAGCAAATATGATGTACACTGCAGGCCAGAGACTTTTTTTTTGTACTTTCCATAAAACAGAACAGTGTAAATAGGTGCAACAGAACTATGACCAATAATGTTTTCTCTTCATCAGGATGGTGTTTAGCAATAATTCTTTGGGTAGGCCCTGGTACCTTTGGGGTTCAGGCCTGCCAGGGGAGGCCTGTGATGGGTGAGGGTTCTGCCACAAGTGGGCAAGGGCCACAGCTATTCTACATAAAACTTTTGTGCAAATTAGAAAAAGGTGCCCCTATGGGTAGTTATAGCACTATGCAAAAGCGAAAGATTTGGGAAACAGGGTGTTGGCTGGATTTCGGTCCCTCCTTGTTGCCTTGGCTGGATATATCTTTGTGAAGTAAACAACCTGAACCCCTGTACATGGTGGTCTTGAGTGGAAAGGTCTCTAAGGCTGGGGAGGACCCTACTTGGCTTGGTATTTGGAGCCCTCTCTGTAGGGGCTGCCCAGCAGACAGGGCTTCCTATCGTGAGTCATTACTTCCCTCAATCATGTCAGAGTCTGCTCAACCCTTTGGAAAATATGGCTGGGAGAGGACAAGGGGGTTGGGGAGAGAGCAGCATTTATCAGGTGTCTAGCACTAGGCCAAGTGCTGGGCATATAGCGGTAAGTATGACCTGGTCTTTTTCTCACTGTCTGATGAAAGGATAGATAGGCAAATAAAGTGGGAACAAATTCTCACAAGTAAATGAGTGAAAAGATACAGGAATGGAGAGAGGAGCAGCCTGCCTCAGGAGTCATGTATGGCTTCTTAGATGACAGATGACATGCTTTATGACTTGGGTCCTTGGAGGAGTTCCCAGGCCAATCAATAAAGGAAAACGCATTCTAGGCAGGAGAAACAACAAGTACAAAGGCTCAGAGCTCTGAGGTCTGGTTAGGTCTGGGAACAAAGGCTGCCCAAGATGCACGAATGTCCTCTGCCCACACACCCAACTCCTATCCACCCAAAGAGGTCTAATGTTAGCTCTTCTGTGACACCTTCCTTTGCTCTCCCAGGCCCCTTCCCCTCAGTCTCCGTGGTGCATACCTCATAGCACCTGACACCGCATACTACTGTCATTTACTCCTCTGGGCTCTCACTAGAGCCTGAGCTCCTTGAGGGCTGGGGCAGCCCCAAGCTCACCTTTGTGTCCTCCTTTTCTCACACAGTGCCAGTCACATGTCAAGGGATAGAAAATGACTTATATGAATAAATGATCAGTGTGCTTGAAGCAGAGTGTAGCAAAGCCAGTTTGGAAGCCAACCTGGAGAGGAATTCTGGGTCTTGTAATGCCATGCAAGGGATTCTGGACTACAGGCATTGGCATAAAAAGTTTGGGGTGGAGGATGTCAAGGTAGCAGGGCATTCAATCTGGAAGGCAGATCCCAACTGTAAGATGCACAAGCCTGCGACCCTCTGGGTCATGCAGGTGCCTCAGTGCACAGAGCAGAGTCCAGGGAGGATACCTCAAAAGATGGGAGAAGCACAGGGCTATCGTGACCAGGGCATCTTTGACTACAGATGACAAACAGTAATGCCTTGTGTTATCTCACCTGATACGAAGTCCAGAGGTAGGAAAGTTTTCAGGCGAACAGGGCTCAACAGTATAATAATCTCATGGAGGTTCTCTCCATCTCCCTGCCTTGTGACTTCATTTTCAGCTTCATTGCAAGATGGTGGCAGCTGCTCCAGGAATCACACCCAGATCCATCAACGTCCAGTGGTTTAAGAGTTACTCCTTCTGCTGTCTCCTTCCTAAGAACAAGAAATCTTTTCCCAGAAGTTCCCTGACAGACCTCCCCTGACATCTCATTGGCCAGAGCTGGGTCACATGTTCACTCTTGCACCAATTACTACTAAGAGTCTCATGATTGACTTAGACTAGTCAGGTGCCAGGCCTGGGGCTGCCTTTCCCTATAGTAATTGGTGTGGCCTGGCGGAAGAGAGGATGCTGAGCTGTAGAGGACCCTGACCCAGCTTCTAGACCCTGAGCTGGGAGTATGTGCATGAGGATGAGCAGTGAACCCCTCCAGGGGGTGCAGGGGAAGGACGTCCTCAGCAGAGCCACCACTCAGGTGGAAGGGGAGAGGGAGGGAGTTTGTTTGTCAGGGCACAGGGATTTAGGGGGGTGGCTGATGGGAAGGGTGGGGAGGGAAGTTGCAGAGGGCGAATGGGTGAGATGGGGAGGCTGGGAGGCAAGCATTAGAGGAGAGGCTAGCATGCTAGGATGGTCCCAAAGGTGGGTGAGAAAGGCTTTCCCGTCGGCCTCAAGTGCTACGTTATGTGCTGGCTGGGAGTGAGGTCCTGCAGTCATGGTGGGGGCTTGATGACTTAGCAGCCTGGGCTAGGCCTTGAGGGGACAGGTGTGGCTGAGACTTGGTCTGTAGGCGGGAGGCTGTGAGGGGCAGGAGACTGCACAGCCTGTTTCAAACACTCCGCCCACAAACCACACACTTGCATACTCATACACACGCAGCCTTGCCATTTACAATGGTAAACTCCTCAGATGGCACAATGCAGCTCTTTGCCCAAGCAACAGAGGAAAGGCCCTGGTTGTTATTCAGAGACATATAGGGGAATTATTTGTATTTAACTGACCTCTTGACATCTTCACTTGGACATCTCGAAAGCTCTCAGAGCCCATGCCTCTCAGCCAGGATGGCTAGAACAGCTGGGGACTGGCTAGAGACTCTTTATGCCCATGGTATCTCTTCAGCAGGGTGTCAGGGATTTTTACAAGGTGGCTGGGTTCCAAGAGGGCAAAAGAGTGGAAGCTGCAAGTTTTTCAAAGCCTGGACTGAGAAGTCCTAAAATATCACTTTTAGTTTTCTGATCAAAGCAAGGCATATGACTGGCAAACCCAAGGCTAGCCAGAATCAAGGAGAAGGGAAATAGACTCCATCTCTTGAGGAGAGGAGTGGCAGGTGTAACCAAGAATGAGAAAGATAGTTGGTGGCCCTCTCTGGAAACAAAAGTGCCACAAAACTGGTGAGCTGCAAAGTTGAGGCTCCAGCCCATGCCTGTCTAGTGCCAACTGCACACCATCACGCCACTGATCAGATCATGGACTTCTCAAGCTTTGGATTTGGACCACTGAATAACTTGAGATCATCCAGTGTTCCAAATCCATCATTGTCTTAACCTGAGTTTTCTTAGAAGCAGGACTTGAGGCCCAATTTGAGTATAAGTGGTTTATTTGAATGGTGACCCCAGGAAGCCCTGATAGGGAAGAATTATGACAGGGATGGAGGGATGGAAACCATTAAAGGATGCCAATGAGAAGGTTATGTTGTAGGCACCTGGACCTCAATCTTGCTGGGATTCTGGGAGGTGGTCCAGAACACCTCTGAGGGGCCAGGAAGCTGGGGTGTTTATTCTTCTGCTTCCCACTCTGGGGCCAAGATCCCATCCTAGGCCCATAGAACTTCTGTTTGAGCTGATACTCCTTTTCAGGCTTGTTCAGGATACCTTCATTCGCTGGCTCCCAGTTACAGAGGCTTCTGACTTTTATGGCCCCTGGGCTGGAGAGCCTGTATTGCACCATGGAGTCACATGCAACAACCCAGTCAGGCTCTTTAGCTGCTAATAAAACTCAAGACTCTCCCAGAGCCAAACGTATTTCCTCTGCTTGGATCTCTGGGCTGTCCCTGCCTCTACGAACCCAACAGTGTCTTCTGGCTGCAAGAACTGGAATTAGAAATAGTGATAGACTGTTACTTTGTAGCTGCTGAAGAATTATGCCTCCCAGTATTTATGTTCTTGTGTAGTCTCCTTCCACATAGACTTGAGCTTGGCCATGTGATTTGCTTTAGCCAATGGGACACTAGTAAATGTGATTCAGGCAGAGGCTGGATAAGTGCTTGCACACTGGGCCTTTTCCTCTTGTACCCCAGCCACCATTCTGTGAGGAAGTCCAGGCCATCCTGCTGGAAAGAGAGATCATATGAAGAAAATACATGGTGAGAGACATATGCCACAGGGAGGAGCCCTGAGCCATCAGACATGCAATCTGTATCTTCCAACCCAGCCCAGTCACCAGTCAAATGCAGTGAAGAGACAATACATGAACTACAATACAGAGCAATATAGAAGAATTGCACAGCTGGGTCTTGTCTGCATTTCTGACCTTCAGAATCTCCAGCAAATAAGATGGTTCTTGTTTTAGGCCACTGTGTTTTCTAGAAATAGATAACTGAAACAGAACTGCAGGCCTTGCTACCCATATGCATCTTTGTAGCTTCTGCTTCCTAAGTTTACTGACACCACACTTCTTTCCTCTGTAGGTTGAGAAAGTGCTTATTGAAAGATACACAACACCCAGTTTGAGGAAGCAGGGAATTCTTTGGTTCTGGGCAAGATGGGAGTGGTAGAGAGGTAATTGCACGTGTTTGATGGTGCTACCCAGCAGAGGTGCCCACCAATGTCACTGACATTCTCAACAAGGAGTGTGGTGAGTTCTCTGCCTCACTGTGGGGTTCTGACTTCTCACTCAAAAGCAAGAATTGAATGCTCAACCCTAGGCATGGCCGCAGAAGGCCACAAGGTACTCTGAGTAATAGGCCAGCTTAAGATCCCTTTACCAACTGGTCACAGCTGGAAGACCTGCCTCATCAAGGGGCTCAGTTGGACCCAGGTGCTGCTGACAATCTTGACTTGGCTGCTAAAAATCAGCTGAGAAGACACAGATATAGCTGAAATCCCAGGGCTACATAAAAACAAAAGCAGAAAACAGTATTAGGGACTAACCATCCTGTAGGGTTTCTCAGTGAGTTCCATTGCTATTTGTGTACAACAAGCATTACTGAATGAAAATGTCACATCTGAGCACTGAGTTTTGCATCCAGTGGTGAATGTGTACCCAAACTACAAAGGAAAAGTTTTAATTCCCATAAAAATATGCAAAGTTACTAATTAAAAATTTTCTCCATCCACATTAAGATCACCAAGTGAGTAAATCTCCCAAGCTGATGATTGTACCAAGTTCAGATTTTATTAATAAAATCTAATTTGTTTTCCCAGTTTTATGGATTAGATTCCCTAGTTATGTTATTTATTCCTACCACCTTTTATTCTTGAATCACAAAATAAATGTCAATTTCAAAAGTTAGATGGTGAATATTCATCTCTCTCCCTAGAATATTGTGGGTGGGAGGCTTTTTTTCCTGATTTAGAAGGGGAAAAAAAATCACAATTTAAATATGAAGTACACATAAAAGAATTGAAAAGGTATTATAAAATGTTCTTTTTTTATTCTCTTTTTATCTCCATTCCCTACTCTCATTATTCTCCTCCCTGTAGAAGACCATTCTAATATATTTAATGAGTATTATTTTGTTTCTATGTCTTCCTGTAAATGTGCACTGTTGTTTTGTGGGCATGTATTTTAAATTGTTGTTATTAGTACTGTGTTACAGATCCCATTGTTTCTTCCTTTTTAAAACATTCTGCACTGTGTTTCTAAGACCTATCTATGTTACTATATGAACATCTAATCTACTGATTGTAACTGCTGTAGGGAACTCCAGGAAATCCATTCTCCACATTTCACCTATTAATTCTGCCAGGGATGGACACTCTAATGGCTTCCAACCCTGGCCACATTAAGAAATATTATACTGAACATTCTTGTTCAGGTTCCCTGACAAACCCAATAAAATAAATGTCCATGCATTTATTCATGGATCATAGTGTAGGTTCACATGCCTTTATGTGGCACCAAAAAAATCTGGTGAACACACTGATTTATAAAGCTGAATTTAGATTTCTTAAATTCTGTCTTCATTGTCATAATGAAAATGTCCAAACAGCTCAAAGAGTTAACATTGTGACTTCAAAAATGCAGATAATAATTTTAGAAAAAAATTGTCTCTGAATTAATCAGTACATACCCTGCGAGAGAAAAAAATGTTAAAAAAAACTAAATATATTGTATTCATTCAAAACAAACATGCATTCACAGTAAACATTTCCTTAGGTTTGTACAGTTACAGTGCATTTTCCCAGTTGAGCAATATTATGATTTGTTGGAGGGGGCTGCAAAGCCACTGAGCAAATGGATTGCATGTGCCCATATTTGCTAGTACATGGTCCCTGTTCACACAGCCTGCTTCTAAAACAACAGCATTCTTCTTTTTCTTTTCAGTTTTAGCTCCTACTTGAAAAAGTCAGATACAACTATAGACATAGGGTAGCTCTTAACCTGCCTTCTTTCCCCATGGGAGGTTACAATTTTATGGAGTGAATCGCTCTTGCTTGTCAAAATGTCCAACAGATTCAAAAGATGTACTTTTCAATGTATTCTTTTATTTTTTTTCCAGGATCTGACATTCTTAGTTCATATTGCCTTTTGCATCCGACAGCTCCCTGTTAAGCTCCCAGCTCAAACTAGAGACCTGTTTGCTTGGGAGTCTGTGGCCATTCCATGGTCGTCTTAGCAAAGTCTTTCCCCTTAAGTTTACCAGGTCTTTATTTCTTTTGTGACCTAGCTCTAGCACTCTCAAAGGATTCAAGCGGGGCAAGAGACTTTCATATTTTGAATCTCTCTCTTTGAATGACTCCTTCTCTAGTATCCATTTTGACATGTAAACCTCCATTTTGACTCTTGCCATTATAGATGTAGGGAAAAAAGAGTTTTTCCAGAGATTCCTGAGCCCTCCCAAATTGTTGGGAGAGTGAATCATCTGAGCTTTGGTTTGGCCAACCTCTGCCCCTCAATGTGCACATGGAGGGAGTTTTCCTGGAACTGGCTAAGCCCCCACCACAACAAGGACCATCTGGGTACACTTGGATCACAGTTTCTCTGGCCTTACGCCTCATATCCTTCCTACTAAATCTGAAGCCTTGCAACATTTCCCCCTTTCTTCCATCTCTTATGCTTTGGAATAGCTCTCCCCAATTCATGTAGAAGCTTCCTTTAAAAAATATGTGCAACAACAGCTGGAAAATTTTTAGGGATGGTTAATAAAGGGAGCTTTCCCAACCAGATGTGAAAGTGCCTTGAGCTATGATAACTGATACAGTTTAAGATTGCCACATGAATTGATACATAAATGGAAAAGAGGAGAAAATCTCAACACAGACCAAGAAACTAGAAGGATTCAGCATATGGAGATGACAGCATCTCAAATCAGTGATGAAAGGTTGTGTGATACAATATACAATGTTGGGAGTACTGGTCAATCATTGGGGGAAAAAAAGAGTTAGATCCCTACCTCACACCAGGTAGGTAAAACATCTAAATGTTAGAAGAATGAGAGAAAGAAGTCATCGGTATACTAGAGAATATTGGTGAGTATATATACAACCTGAGAATGAGAAAAGCCTTCTAAAAGTACAGGAACAGAGGCAAAAAGCCATACAGGAACGTCAGTAGATTTCACTAAAAACAAAATCTAGGCACTTCTATATCTATAAACCCATCATAATAAAGACTTAAAGGTAAAATAAAATGGGGCAAAATGTAGCATAGATGGCAAATTATTAATATAATTAGTTTATTAAGACTTGCCACCAATCAATAAGCATAAAGTTGAGATTGATGTTGAGACCTATGTTAAGGCATTATTGCTCAAGGAAGGCTGCCAACTACTTGATGACAGGTTAATTACATCAGACCCTTCTTCTAATGGGGCAGCAATTTGTTTCTTTTAGATTTTTACCTACTGTAGATATAAGTTTGCGTTCCCTATCAGTAGTGTTTCTGCCAACACTACTATCTGTGGACAGACAGAACTGGCATGGTATTCTGAAAAACATAGCCCCAGCTTGAGGGACCTATTTTATGGAAAAGGGAGGGCTGACAATGGCACACTGCAAAGGGTTCCCTTGGTATACCCATCAGCTGGAAGGAGCAAGCCTAATGTAACAATGACACGACCTGTTGGCTTAGTGAAGGGACTGGCTCTGGGACAACAATCTGCAGGGTTGGCATGCTGAGCTCCAGGATGCCATATGCACACTGAGCTAGTGAGCAAACTGTGTCACCAGAAGCTAGAATACACAGGTCTGGCAAAAAAAAGGGGAAGCAAGTTTGGCCCCCTTCACTATTGCTCCCAGTGACACTTAGGAAAGCTGTATTTCCTTGTCCTGAACCCTTAGATTCTGTTGTATTAGGGGTCCTATTTCCCAAGTGGGGAATGCTTCTATCAGGAATTCCTTTCAACTGGAAGCTATGACTGTCATCTAGTTGGTCACTTTGACTCCTTATGCCTATGGTCCAGGAGGTAAAGAAAGTTATAGTGGATTCTTAGAATAGATTCTCCCAGAGGCAGGTCCTGGAATCAGGATTTGAGTGCAAATAGTTTATTTGGAAGATGATTGCAGGAAATACCAGAAGGGGAGTAGAGAAGTAAGATGGATTGAAGAAGGAAATCAACATAGGATTGCTGTTGAGGAAACAGGGACTCGACTCTGCTGAGGACATCTGGGAGAAATGTGGAACATGCCTTAGAGTTGTCTCACCAGAAAGGCAGAGAAATGGGTATTTATACACTAATTTCTGCTGTTCCCAGAAGCTTCACCTCCAGGGCACCCTGTCCTGAGCTGAATGGGAGCTGGGCATGCTCTGAAAGCTGGAGAAAGCCCGCAGTCAGGGAGCAGTGGTGTTCACAGCAGGAAGCTGCTGAATGCCCAACCACAGCAAATACTTAAGTGATATGGGTGGGCTCCGTGTTGGAGTGTGATTTTCAGTACAGTCATCCCTCCAACTTTTCAAGATAAGGGGCTTTTTAAATGCCTCATGGACCCCTCTGGCTTTTACACTGTGCCTTGGGTTGATATCTGGCTGGCCTATGGTTGTTATTTTCTTTCTTCATCGTTCCTATGGCCATTAACAACAGCTAGTCAGTGCCATAATCCTTATGATCACCATCATCCCCTGATTTTTCCAGATGTCGGAGCTATTGTTCAAGCCTATACATCTCCTTCC